TGTTTTTTGGCTGGTTTCTTTTTTTCTCAAAAAATTACCAAAAAAAGGAAATTTTCTGAAAAATTGGGGATCAGTGGAAAGAGTTTTTTATTTTATTTTATTTTTTTTTTTATTTGATTTAATTTATTGTAATCACTAATAACTATTAAATATAATAAATTAAAATTTATATTTATATTTTTTAAAATATAAAAAACAAAATTTTTTAAATATTTAATTTGAAAATAAAAGAATTAATTTTTTCTAATATTCAAATTTTTATTATATGTAATTATTTCCAAAAGTTTGAATTCACTTATTATATTTTTATTATAAAATTTAACTTTAACAATTTTTAAATCCTTAATTATATAATCAAAATTTATAAAATTCATATATATTGTATTTTAATATTGGTTTATTTATTATATCTTTTTTAAAAAATTTTTATATATAATTTTTAAAATTTTATTATTGTTAAAAATTTCTTTCTTTATTAAATTTTTACTTTTAAAGAATTTTGATTGACTGTTATCCTAAATCATATGATAATTAATAAAAAAATAAAGATATTTAACAATAACAAAACTTTAAGATATATTAATAAAAAAATATAAATATACATAATATATGTAAATTTTATAATTTTTAATTATATAATTAATAATTTTAAAAATGGTTAAATTTGAAATTTATAATAAAAATTTAGTAAGCGGACTTAAAACTTTTGAAAGCAATCATATTACAAAAACTTAATAAAATAATTTTTTTATAATTTTTTTATCAACAAAAAATTTTATTTATTAATTATAAATTAAATTAAATAGTTAACAATTTTTAAAAATTTATATAAATATTATAAAAATTTTTAAAATTAATTTTTTATATAATAAAAAAATAATTTAATCATAAAAAAATTATTTGTATTTAATAAGAAAATTATTTGATTGTAAAAAAAATTATCTGTATTTAATAAGAAAATTATTTGATTGTAAAAAAAATTATTTGTATTTAATAAGAAAATTATAAAAATTTATTATAGCAAAAATTATATAAAAATATTAGTCCAAAGACTTTTACACCAGACTGTATATTCTTTAAAAAACTCAAATTTCTTTTTTTAAATATATATTCTTACATATCTTATTAAGGTTTAAAAATAAAACCAATAAAATATTTTAAATCATTAAATATTTGTTTATATAGCAAACTACGAGACCCCTGCAAACGAGTAAAATTGGTGATCCCCGGTATTTTGGCAAAAACAATAATTTACGCACAAAAATAATTGAAACACATAATTGTAACATTGTAAAATCACCTTTAACTATTATGATATTTCTTTGACAAAAATAAATAATGACAATAGAAGATATCAAAGCAGTACCTGCATCACCATCGGCAACACAATTTAGGTTTAAAGTTAACAAAACTTATCATAACAGAATGCACATTCCCCGAAGGAAGGCTATTAATAACTTTTTTGAGTTTGTATGTTTTGTCCAAAAGTTTACTCATTTTACCTTAAATAACCATAAATAACAAATTATTATTCTCTCCTTTATTTGGTTCTTGTGGTCCTTAGCAAAAAAAATGCCTCGAATTACATGCAGAATATTATCAAGGCATCTCAAATCTCCTAAAGGAAACTGACGTTTCATCATTTTTAGTATCTCCCTCTCCAGGAGTTGATCCTCTTCATATTATCAATGAGACGGGGATGGTAATTAGTGGTATGATAGCTCCAGGAATGGGAGGATATTATAGCAATAAAAAACTAAAGAGGCATGCGAGTGATGACGTTGAAGCAAGTGGAGAAGAGGCATATAGTTCTGAAAATCAAAAAGTACAAAAAAATAGACGAGCACCAAGGCAATTATGGAAGGATGAAGAGGTTGAAAGGTTAAAGGCCGCTCATGATAAATATAATGGTGATTGGGAGCTAATTATTAAAGAATTCGAGCCTGAAAGAACTAGGTATGCAGGATGAAAGGTTACATGGTTACATGGGATAGGAATGTCGAAAAGCCTAGAATTAGTTATAATTCAAATTTTTTTGTTTCAAATTTACATCATTATTGTAGAATTCAGATCTTTCAAAAAGCTCGCCAAATGGGCCTACGAGCGGTTGAATCGGGAAAGCTAATCGATTTATCGAAGCCAAATTCTATAATTGAATATAATAACGCGCAGTTAATTAATAACGAAGGAATTGATGAAGAAGGAGTAGAATATGAGCAAGAAAATGTCGAAGCCGATCCTTGGCAAGATGAAGAAGACGGCAATGATGGTTGATTGGATACATGGGCGTTTAACCATTAAGATTACTTAATATTTATTGCACAAAAGCAATTTATTTTCTCTCTGATTTT